TAATCTGCACATTTCAGATGCCAGTGAGCTCACACTAGACCCCAGCACAGCAAATTGTTTCCTGTCCCTGTCCGAGGGGAACAGGAAAGTGACGCGCCAGAGGAAGGCGCGAGACTATCCCAGCACCCAAGAGCGGTTCGATGAATGCAACCAGGTGCTGAGCAAGGAGGACCTCGGCGGGCGGCATTACCTGGAGTTTGAGTGTCTGCATGACGTACATATAGGCATGGCCTACAAGCGATTAGAGAGGAACGGGGCCGGAGACAATGTAACGCTAGGACGGAATGCTGATTCTTGGGCTTTGTACGCCTCAAAGGATAAGTTCTATGCCCAGCACGAAACAATTATTCACAACTTACGGCTCCCTGAAATCAAATCAGATGAGTCCTATAGAATTGGGGTGTTTCTGGACAGGCCGGCCGGCCTCCTGTCCTTCAACAAAATCTCCTCAGAGTCTGACAAACTGACCCACCTGTACACCTTCCACACCACATTCACTGAACCCCTTTATCTTGGGCTTAGACTTCAATCTCCAACCTCAACCATTTCTCTCAAATAGTCAAATAGCCTACATTACATCTAAGCATTGTCTTTCAGAAAGTATATGTCCCACTGGGTGGGGAGGGAGAGGGGTTATAGAAAACTTTGTGGTCAGACTTAGGTTCTAAGCTAAGGAAGTATACTTGAGAACAGAATGGCCTGTGGGTTTACAATACTGTTATGTTGTATCTCTCCTTTATTCCTCTGAACAAAGAATTTAAAATAATGTGCTATCTACTGTATAGCCGTACTGACCATAACTTCATTTAAAAAATAATGTCAAAAGCTGGCTAATGATCGAACAATAGATCAAATGTTAATGTATGTGCCTTCAGAAAGTATTCACACCCCTTGACTTTTTCCACATTTTGTTGTGTTACAAAGTGGGATTAAAATGGATTTAATTGTCATTTGTGGTCAACGATTTACAAAAGAAAAATACTCTAATGTCAAAGTGGTAGAAAATTCAAAAATGTATTACAAATGAAAAATAAAACACTAATATATCTTGACTAGATAAATATTCCCCAATCTCAATTTAATCAGGCTGTAACACAATTTTAATTCAGGCTGTAACAAAACAAAATGTGGAAAAAGTAAACGGGTGTGAATACTTTCTGAAGGTGCTGTATGGACATGTGTCTGTATGTATATAATGGATCTATATCTGTGTAATGGAACGTTTTTGCACAATGCACATTAGGGACAACAATGGAAATAAGTCTTACATAAGTCTTACATTTTGTGAGATCACGTTTCTTAAAATCTACAGTATGTACTGTGTGTGTGTTTTTAACTGGCAAATAAAATCAATAAATCAGTCAATTAATGCAATTGTTGTATAAATGTATTCAACGCCCAACCGTAGTACACCTCCTTCTCTCCTACCTTGCTGTTGAACACATCCTCCTCTTTATTGCAAAGCCAGTTGAAGCCAGTCCCTGCACTGTTACAGGCATCATTTCTATGGATGTGTATATTACTAGAACATGATTAAGTGATAATGTCCGAGAAGCCCCGTAATGACAAAGCAAAAACAGGTTTTTAGAAATGTTTGCAAATGTATTCAAAATAAAAAAACTGAAATATCACATTTGATGAAGATATATTGTCACGGTTTGATATATTGATGACCCGTGCCAATATATCTTCATCAAATGTGATATTTCAGTTTTTTATTTTGAATACATTTGCAAACATTTCTAAAAACCTGTTTTTGCTTTGTCATTATGGGGTATTGTGTGTGGATTGATGAGGAAAAAAACAATTTAATCAATTTTAGGATAAGGCTGTAACGTAACAAAATGTGGAACAAGTCAAGGGGTCTGAATACTTTCCAAATACACTGTATATATCCATAAAAATGATATAATGTTGTTTAATTGTAATATATCTTATTTTTTTCATGCATTTTGAAGTTTTCTCTCTTGAATATGGTTACTTTCAAAGCCCTCTACCCCATCTAGTGTTAGTACAAGGTAAGACATGGAAGCGACTTGCAATGTGTAACTGACTTTTCTAACTGACAGCAGTTAGATTAATTAATACTACTAATAAGTCCACTTCCTTTTGGAGAATTGAATTTAACTAATGACCTACTGAATTGACCTACTTCTCACTTATAACAGTTTTTGGGTTTAATTCATGGAGAGATTGGGGTTACCCCTGGAGGTGGATCATCATGTGACTTCTGTCATGTAGCTGGATCACTGGCCTTTTCTCAATTGAATTTGCTCAACTCCTGCATCCTCTCTCCTCTGTCCTCTCTCGCCTCCTTTTGAAAAAGGTCAAAGGTAATCAAGGAGAGGCAGTGAGGACTCCTTCTCCACGTGGCGTCATCAGGCAAATTACTATAACGGGTGGATCCCAAAATAAATGTGTAAAGGGATATAAACTAATTTAGTTGCGCAAGACAATGTATAGATACAACGGTAAGTGGCAAATTGTTATTAAACATGTGCTTGCTTTTGTCCTCTGACAAAACAAAAGCTGATTCAAGGGGGTGTGGCAGATTTAAAAACTCTGGTAGGATACACATGACTATCCTTGATGAAAGGTGGCTATGGAGGAGGGGAGGACACTCTTCCGTTCGCCTACTAATGAATTGACCTCTCCTCCACCAGTCACAGAGGAGAGAGGATGGAGGACAGCCTTTCCCTAAATGAGAAAAGGCCACTGTCTACTAGTGCCATCACAGCCCCCATCCCAACTGGCAATAACATTACTGTCAGCGCTAACAGATTTTTATATAAATAGTTGCATTTTTAAATAGACTGAAAAAATATATAAACGCAACATGCAACAATTTCAAAGATTTTACTGAGTTACAGTTCATGTAAAGAAATCAGTCAATTTAAATTAATTAATTAGGCCCTAATCAATGGATTTTACATGACTGGGAATACAGATATGCATCTGTTGGTTACAGATACCTTAAAACAAAAGTAGGGGCGTGGATCAGAAAACCAGTCAGTATCTGGTGTGACCACTATTTGCCTCATGCAGTGCGACACATCTCCTTTGCATAGAGTTGATCAGGCTGTTGATTGTGGCCCTTGGAATGTTGTCCCACTCTTCAATGGTGGTGCGAAATTGCTGGATATTGGCGGGAACTGGAACACACTGTCGTACTTGTCGATCCAGAGCATCCCAAACATGCTCAATGGGTGACATTTCTGGTGAGTATGTAAGCCATGGAAAAACTGGGACATTTTCAGCTTCCAGGAATTGTGTACAGATCCTTGAGACATGGGGCCATTCATTATCATGCTGAAATATGAGGTGTTGGCGGCAGATGAATGGCATGACAATGGGCCTCAGGATCTCGTCGCAGTATCTCTGTGCATTCAAATTGCCATAGATAAAATGAAATTGTGTTCGTTGTCCGTAGCTTATGCCTGCCCATACCATAACCCCACCGCCACCATGGGGCACTCTGTTCACAACATGGACATAAGCAGCGTGCTCGCCCCAAATGATGCCATTTGCCCGGTACAGTTGAAACCGGGATTCATCCATGAAGAGCACACTTCTCCAGCGTGCCAGTTGCCATCGAAGGTGAGCATTTTCCCACTGAAGTCGGTGACGACGCCGAACTGCAGTCAGGTCAAGACCCTGGTGATTACGACGAGCATGCAGATGAGCTTCCCTGAGACGGTTTCTGACAGTTTGTGCAGAAATTCTTTGGTTGTGAAGAAGGCGGATGTGGAGGTCCTGGGCTGGCGTGGTTACACGTGGTCTGCGGTTGTGAGGCCGGTTGGACATACTGCCAAATTCTCTAAAATGACGTTGGATGCAGCTTATGGTAGAGAAATGAACATTACATTCTCTGGCAACAGCTCTGGTGGACATTCCTGCAGTCAGCATGTCAATTGCACGCTCCCTCAAAACTTAAGTAATCTGTGGCGTTGTGTGACAAAACTGCACACAACATTTTAGAGTGGCCTTTTATTGTCCCCAGCACAAGGTGCACCCGTGTAATGATCATGCTGTTTAATCAGCTAATTGATATGCCACACCTGTCAGGTGGATGGATTATCATGGCAAAGGAGAAATGCTCACTAACAGGGATGTAAACAAATGTGTGCACAAAATTAGGCTGAAATAAGCTTTTTGTGGGAATGGAAAATGTCGGTGATCTTTTATTTCAGCTCATGAAACCAGCACTTTACATGTTGGGTTTATATTTTTGTTCAGTGTAGTATCCTCAAATGAATTTACAGTGGATTTAATTTAACCAATGTCTTATTGAGGATTTGAATGTGCTCTCTAGCAACTTCATATGTGCAAGGCTTCTTGGGGGCCCAATGAACATACTAAGAAAACCAAACATGACTAGGCTATTATGACATAAATAGGAGAAACACTATCTCTGTGTTTACAACAAAACATTTACAAAAAACTAACAACAAAAATTAGTGGAGACTTTTATTATTGTTTATTAATTCTGACATGTCAGTTAGAAAGGTATGGGAGTTACATTTCAAGTTGCTTCAATGTCTTATCTTGTGCCAACACTAGATGGTGTAGAGATCTTTGAAAGTAAAGTATTCAAAACAAAACCTTAAAATGCATGAAAAAAATAGATATAGTACAATTCAACAAAATGAAACCAATATTTAAAAATGCAAAATGTATTATTTAATCTAGAAACAAAACAAAAAACATTAAATTGTCTTCAGTCAATTCCACTAACATTATATAATGTTCTAGTTATATACACATCCACAGAAATGATGCATGTAACAGTGCAGGGATTGCCTTCAACTGGCTTTCGCCAAAGAATGGACCGGCGCGAGGAACATGTTGTAAATTCCCTCCAGCCATGCTTGCACCAAACCAATGCTTTTACATGCATGAGAGGGAGAGAAGAAGTGTACACCTCCGGGGAGGGGCAGATAACCAAAACACAGCCTTTAGCTCTCATATAGAGAGGGGACAATGTGACTGAGGGGGAGGGGTTATAACGGCCCTTTTTCATCTTCACCATTCTTATCCCCCTTCACCTGGGCGTTCACTTTAACCCCCAGGTTTGGGCGTGTGCCATCCTCCTTGGTGACCTCTGACCCGGAACAGGGCTGCATGGCCTGAACGATGTGCTGCAGTGTCCAGTGTTCCTCCCGCAGCGTGTGGGCGTCAAGGGTAAACTGACCCTGTTTGGTCCGGATCAGCTTCCTCACGTGGGCACACGACGAGAGTGCTTTTCCCAGGTCGTCCACCAAGCTTCTGATATAAAATCCACCACCGCATTCAACGTCAAGAGTGAAGAGGGGTGGTGTGAAGTCCTGCAGTGACAGGTTATACACTGTGACCGGCCGTGCAGGTTTGGCTTCCACCTCGTGGCCTTGTTTCAGCAGGACAGACAGACGCTTGCCATCCTTCTTCAGCGCAGAGTACAGTGGAGGAACCTGCATGACGTCCCCTGTGAATTGCTTCAACTTCTCCTCAAAGGCTTCCCTGGTAATGTGATCATAGAGCTTCTCATGAACCACATTGCCTGTGGCGTCAAGGGTGTCTGTTGCTTTTCCCAACTCTCCAACAGCCATGTATTTCTTTGAACCAGCCAGCATAGTACTAAGCATCTTTGTTCCATTTCCAATCCCAACAACGAGCACACCAGAGGCTGCACTGTCCAGAGTCCCGCCATGCCCCATTTTCAGAGCTTGCTTCTTCCTCTTTCTGGGATTAGGATTTTTCACACCGGCCTCTTTGAGGAGTGCCTCTTTTAATGAGTTTAATACATCAGCAGACGTAGGTCCTTCCTTTTTATAAATGGCAAAAAGTCCATTTAAAGATTGTAGTTTTGATAAAGAATGTTTAGGCACAGTTACGCCAGTTACTGTTCCAGCCATGCTTGCTTTCCAAAACAAGAGGCGCGAGTTGATGACGCAAATTTAACTGAAAACACTTCCGTTTACAAATGCGTCATCATCAATGACTATCAGAAATGTATCAAAACATTATTAGCTGGCTACGCATTAGCGTATCCTCCCAGCTAAAGCAATACTACAGACTACACTATGCCTAATAGTATCAATTGATTATACACATGTTTGGATAGCTGTGCTTTTCGATATCGTTAGGCAGTTCGCTAGCTAGCTATATTCCAAAATATTCAACTGTCTGCGTAGGAAGAAGTAGACAGACAAGCTGTGTGAGAGGAGGCCAAAACCAGGACGAGAGCGAAGTCGGGGAGGCCGCTTGACACCTGAGGGGAGGGCATCGAAACGGTAACAGGCTAGCTAGCGTTATGCTTGTAGCTATTTGGAAGCTTGCCAGCTAGCTAGAGTTGACTATTTTTCCTGTATCTTTACTTCAGTGTAACTGTCAAATCAAACGATGTAGCTCTCTAGCCCCTGTTATTTTATCCAAACATTGTGCTAGTAGTGAACGACAAATTAGCTACAGGTTGGGAAACACTTTACAGTAGAGTAGACCAGCAACACCCCTCTGTCACTGTTTATAGTAGTAGACAGGCAACACCTGTAGTAGTAGACAGGCAACACCAAAGGAACCCCCCCCCCCCCCCCCCCCCCCAATCTGCTTCCCCCACCTAAACTATTGATGTCTTGTTACTTGTGCCCTCTCCCCCCAGCCAGCCGCAGTCCGGCCTGAGACACGGGTAGCAGTATAGGGAAGCAGAGCGGAGAGGCCGCCGCCACGGCGGGGCCGGCGGACAAAATGGCGGGCAGCCCCGAGAAGAGTGTCTCGGCGCAGGAGTGGAAGGAGCAGGGCAACCGCCTCTTCCTCAGCCGCAAGTACCAGGAGTCGGCCGCCTGCTACAGCAAAGCCATCGTAAGGACAAGGGGTCGGGAGATAGATAAAGAAAGAGAGAGTGTGGGTGGGTGGAACGGAGGTGTGGGTGGAACGGAGGTGTGTGTGTGTGTGGGTGGAACGGAGGTAGTGTGTGTGGGTGGAACTGAGGTAGTGTGTGGTTGGAACTGAGGTAGTGTGTGGTTGGAACTGAGGTAGTGTGTGGTTGGAACTGAGGTGTGTGTGGGTGGAACTGAGGTAGTGCACCAAATTGTAACTTTGCATGATGAGTAACCTCACCCCGAGACCTAGGAAGTCAGCTGTTGCTTGTAGTGAAGAGTGTGTGTGTGTGTGTAAGCGTGTAAGCGTGGCATATTTAGGAATGGGATATGGGTGTGAGAAAGGGGGATATAAATAGTGAATAATGTGTTTGTCCCCAGAAGCGGAACCCCTCGGTGTCTGTGTACTACACCAACCGGGCACTATGCCACGTGAAGCTGCAGCAACACGATAAGGCCCTGGCCGACTGCAAGCAGGCGCTGGAGCTGGACCCCCAGTCAGTCAAGGCCCTCTTCTTCCTGGGCCAGTGTCACCTGGAGATGGAGAACTACGACGAAGCCATCGGCAACCTGCAGAGAGGTGGGCTGGGGGCCTAGGTGGCAATCAAGGGTCCAGACACAGAGGGTGCATCTCAATAGTCGAAATAGGCCTCCTGTCCCATAGATCTCCTGTCCCATAGGCCTCCTATCTCCTGTCCCATAGTCTTACTGTCCCATAGACCTCCTGTCTCTTGTCTTCTCTCCTTCATCTGTACTCATTTTAAAGAACTGGACAAGTGTCAAAAGGAGATGAGACTACTTTAGACTATTGAGATGAGGAGAGGAAGCTACTTTAGACTATTGAGATGAGGAGAGGAAGCTACTAGACTACTGAGATGGAGAGAAAGCTACTAGACTACTGAGATGAGGAGAGGAAGCTACTAGACTACTGAGATGAGGGGAGGAAGCTACTAGACTACTGAGATGGAGAGAAAGCTACTAGACTACTGAGATGAGGAGAGGAAGCTACTAGACTACTGAGATGAGGAGAGGAAGCTACTAGACTACTGAGATGAGGGGAGGAAGCTACTAGACTACTGAGATGGAGAGAAAGCTACTAGACTACTGAGATGAGGAGAGGAAGCTACTAGACTACTGAGATGAGGAGAGGAAGCTACTAGACTATTGAGATAGAGAAGAGAGGAAGCTACTAGACTATTGAGATAGAGAAGAGAGGAAGCTACTAGACTATTGAGATAGAGAAGAGAGGAAGCTACTAGACTATTGAGATAGAGAAGAGAGGAAGCTACTAGACTATTGAGATAGAGAAGAGAGGAAGCTACTAGACTATTGAGATAGAGAAGAGAGGAAGCTACTAGACTATTGAGATAGAGAAGAGAGGAAGCTACTAGACTATTGAGATAGAGAAGAGAGGAAGCTACTAGACTATTGAGATAGAGAAGAGAGGAAGCTACTAGACTATTGAGATAGAGAAGAGAGGAAGCTACTAGACTATTGAGATGATGAGGAGAGGAAGCTACTAGACTACTGAGATGAGGAGGAGAGGAAGCTACTAGACTACTGAGATGAGGAGAGGAAGATTGGTTTCTCAAATAACTGCCTCGCCTGGTTCACCAACTATTTCTCAGATAGAGTTCAATGTGTCAAATCGGAGGGCCTGTTTTCTGGACCTATGGCAGTCTATGGGGGTGCCACAGGGTTCAATTCTTGGGCCGACTCTTTTCTCTGTGTAAATCAATGATGTTTCTCAGATCCACCTCTACGCAGACGACACCATTTTGTATACATCTGGCCCTTCATTGGACACTGTGTTAACAAACCTCCAAACGAGCTTCCATGCCATACAACACTCCTTCCGTAGCCTCCAACTGCTCTTAAACACAAGTACAACTAAATGCATGCTCTTCAATCGAACACTGCTGGCACCCGCCCACCCGACTAGAATCACTACTCTCGACAGGTCTGACCTAGAGTATGTGGACAACTACAAATACCTAGGTGTCTGGTTAGACTGTAAACTCTCCTTCCAGAATCACATGAAGCATGTCCAATCCAAAGTTAAATCTAGAATCGGCTTCCTATTTCGCAACAAAGCCTCCTTCACCCATGCTGCCAAACATGCCCTCGTAAAACGGACTATCCTACCGATCCTTGACTTCGGCGATGTCATTTACAAAATAGCCTCCAACACTCTACTCAGCAAATTGGATGTAGTCTATCACAGTGCCATCCGTTTTGTCACCAAAGCCCCATATACTACCCACCACTGTGACCTGTACGCTCTTGTTGGCTGGTCCTCACTACATATTCGTTGCCAAACCCACTGGCTCCAGGCCATCTATAAATCACTGCTAGGCAAATCCCCGCCTTATCTTAGCTCATTGGTCACCATAGCAACACCCACCCGTAGTATGCGCTCCAGCAGGTATATCTCACTGGTCATCCCCAAAGCCAACACCTCCTTTGGCCGCCATTCCTTCCAGTTCTCTGCTGCCAATGACTGGAACGAACTGCAAAAATCTCTGAAGCTGGAGACTCTTATCTCCCTCACTAACTTTAAGCATCAGTTGTCAGAGCACCTTACCGATCACTGCACCTGTACACAGCCCATCTGAAATTAGCCCACCCAACTACCTCATCCCCATATTGTTATTTATTTTGCTCATTTGCACCCCAGTATCTCTATTTACACATAATCTCTTGCACATCTATCATTCCAGTGTTAATACTAATTTTAATTATTTTGCACTATGGCCTATTTATTGCCTTACCTCCATAACTTGCTACATTTGCACACACTGTATATATTTTTCTGTTGTATTTTTGACTTTATGTTTTTTTACCCCATATGTAACTCTGTGTTGTTGTTTTTATCGCACTGCTTTGCTTTATCTTGGCCAGGTCGCAGTTGTAAATGAGAACTTGTTCTCAACTGGCTTACCTGGTTAAATAAAGGTGAAATAAAATATACTAGACTACTGAGATGATGAGGAGAGGAAACTACATTAGACTATTGAGATGAGGAGAGGAAACTACATTAGACTATTGAGATGAGGAGAGGAAACTACATTAGACTATTGAGATGGAGAGGAAACTACATTAGACTATTGAGATGGAGAGGAGAGGAAACTACATTAGACTATTGAGATGAGGAGAGGAAACTACATTAGACTATTGAGATGGAGAGGAGATGAGGAGCGGAAACTACATTAGACTATTGAGATGAGGAGAGGAAACTACATTAGACTATTGAGATGAGGAGATGAAACTACATTAGACTATTGAGATGGAGAGGAGATGAAACTACATTAGACTATTGAGATGGAGAGGAGAGGAAACTACATTAGACTATTGAGATGAGGAGAGGAAACTACATTAGACTATTGAGATGCACCCATCCCAGACACTCCCATTCAGGAGTCTAGATACACACATCAAAATATATTTCTAAGTTACTTGACAGGACATTGGATAAAGTCAGCTCTACCAGCTAATACATCATTATATCATTAATAATAATAGTTTGGTCCTCAGCATATAACCTGGCAAAAGAGCAACGGTTGAACTTTGGCGACGACATTCCCAGTGCCCTCCGGATAGCCAAGAAGAAGCGCTGGAACAGCATCGAGGAGAAGCGCATTAACCAGGAGAACGAGCTGCACGCCTATCTCACCAAACTCATCCTGGCAGAGAAGGAGAGGTGAGGGATTTTTTCTGTGCTCACCTATAGTTTGTTTCCTGCCTTGTGTTCTATATGTGTTGTGTGTGTATATAATGTGTGAGCTGTGCTAAGATTTTCCTCTTGTAGGACAATAAAGGTTCATCTGAATCTGCTCCGGCCACATGGTGGGAACACTGTAGGGCTTGGGAGAGGTATTTACAGAACAGGAATTGAAATTCAGTTTGTGAATCAGAGAATAGCCATTTTGATTTAGTTTTTCCACAACACTCAAGTTGAAATGGAACAACCATAAACGTGTTGTGCAATCAATTCCCATTAGTCAGTGGGAAACCATTGCATTCTCCCAGGCTTGTTGGTAGAAAGTCTCTTACTGTTCGGGGCATTAATATAATAATAATATATGCCATTTGGCAGACGCTTTTAACCAAAGCAGTCATGCGAGCATATACTTTTTATGCCCGGTGGTCCCGGGAATCAAACCCACTATCCTGATGTTGCAAGCACCATGCTCTAGAGGACTGCTAATTAACTTGGTGCTTGGCATCACCCTGGGGGGAGTTTTTTTTTTTTTGGTGTGTAAAACCAGTTAGTCCATCCATTTATAGGCCTACAATCATGCTATCCATTTATATTGTAATAAGCCTTGGTTGGTGGAAGTTACTGAAGTAATCCATACAATCCATTTATATTGCAATAAGCTAAGCCTTGGTTGGTTGAAGTTAGCAGAGTGATTTGGATGACTTTGGTCCTGTCCTCAGGGAACTGGATAACAGCAGAGAGGAACAAGACGGCAAGTCGGAGGAATGCAGAAGCCGACACGACCTCACTAAATTCCAGTCCAAACATGTGAGTCCCAAACCAAGTGTACCAAGAGTAGTGGACGTTGCACATCCAGCTAATGTCCACAGACACAGGGTATAAACAAATAACAATGGGAAAATAAGGACTAGAAATGGTTCAACAACAAAAGGGTTTTCATAAGCTATACATATTTATATAGTCAGAAACAAAGTCTTAATCCAAAGACATCTTAACACAACCTTACTAATCAAGATAAAGTTTTTTTTCATAAGAATATGCAACAGAACAGAGGTGTTATGCACCCAAAAACTCTGAGGGGGCACGAAGTACGTGAGGATGGCTGGGGGTGGTCTGAAGGGGGGTTAGGAGAATTTAGCATTTATGCTTAATTCTATGTCCAAAAAAAAGTTACTTTTACTGCAAAGCAAAGCATACCTCGAGCTGTCTATCCACCAGTATTTTTAGTTATTTTTTTAATGCAAAAATCGGGGTAAAAGATTGAAAGGAATGTGAGTCTTATTCAGTACATTTAGTTATTGCTTGCTTTTCTAGTCTACCAACCTTGTCAGCAGGCATACCAGCTAAGATAGTTGGACAAGCTAGGCACTCTAACTTGATTGATCGCCTGAAATGGCTTCTTGGTAGCTAGTTATGAGGTTGGGAGATTGGGAACCTATCTGGGCTAGCTAAAGCCAACTTCATAAAATTGCTAGGTGGCTAGTAGAATTTCAGAGGAGAAAAAAAAGAAAGAAAAATTTTTTTTTTTACAGGACAAATCTGAGGGGGCACCGTGCCCCTGTGCACCCTATGGGCATGACGCCTCTGCAACAGAACATGTTTTAAACCCGTTTAAAACGTGTTTGGTCTTACTCTAGCTTATTGCATGTATGTGTGTCTTTCGGAGGGTTTGGGATAAAGCGGAAGTCACATTTTGGTTGGACCCTGTGTACAATTGACAAATAAAGTGATCTTAAATTAGGGGTCACATTTCTCTACAGGACAAGCAACTGTCAGACATGGAGGAGCTCTTCTCTCAGCTGGATGAGAAGAGGAAGGTGAGTGCTCTCTACTGCCTCCTGGTGGATACATGATCAGGGGGAGAATCTCTGCATTTCCTTGATTCCTCCTGTCCCCTTTCCTCGCCTCCTTCCGAAAACCCATTGGATGAGGTCAGAGGCCCCCCCCTCCCTCATCCAATGGTTTTTGAGAAGGAGAAGAGGGAGGAATAGAGGAAATACAATTTACATACTCCCATGCTCTTTACATCTGTTTACCCCTGTCCCTTAGCCTAGCCCCTACACCCTTGGCACTCCTGCACTCAGAGTGATAGGGAGATATAAATACCAGGGTTGTTACTAGTTTCATCTTGCCTTCTGATTGGCTGGGTGAAAATGATTCCAAATTGCTTCCACCTGTCCAATCCTCTCAGATCTAGCGGAGCGGCTTGTCTGCTGTGGAGTAGGGGCTAGGGGTTTGGAATTCAGCACTAGCCCCTACATCATCAATGGTTTCTGTTTGGCTATCACTCTGGCCATACTAGAAACAACTCTATTCCTAAACCCTTTAAAAAATCTTAACCCAAGCCCTTTGTTAATAACCAAATACCGGGTCAGAATGTACAAGACCCTACAGTAGACATCCTTTCTAGCATGGCCATTTAGTGATAACCTCTGTTTGTTTAACAGAAGAGGGAGATCCCAGACTACCTGTGTGGAAAGATCAGCTTTGAGTTGATGAGGGAGCCCTGCATTACACCCAGTGGGATCACTTACGACCGCAAAGACATCGAGGAGCACCTACAGGTAAGGATTAGTCTCATAAAACCCAACACTAGGCAACAGCAGTGACTAGGGTCAGGTTAGAATGATGGACTCTTATGGCATCCTCGATAAGGTGGAAAACTCTCCTTACAAATCACGAGGCAGACATGCCAGAACGTCATGATTTGAAACCAAAGTTTGAAGGCAAAACCTTTGCAGTGGTTTTAGTGAAGGTAGTTGATGCAAACTAGCCACTTGCGAAATGCACTCATTAAAAATAACATCCGTGATCGCCATCTTGCTAGCTACAATTTAGCATTTTATTCAAGCGGATAAGGTATTGATGTAGGCAGTGAAGTGGTTCCTCTATGCCAAACTGACGTTCTGTTACGTACAGACATGTTAAACTGGAACGACTGTGGTAGGCAACCTGGATGTCTAGAGAGACTAGGTAATGATAGGCAGGAGTACTCCAAATTGAATCTCCCAGAATACTCCTTTAAACCCACAATGAATCACTGACCATGTAAAAGAATAGTTACACATAATTTCTGTGGCAATATGATTAAGTATTAAGCAGGGGTGAAGGTAAGGCGGTAAGGTCTGGTACAGGGTCCCGGCAAAATAAATAATGGGGGTACGCCGTACCGGTAAACATGACCCTATCACAATAATTAAAACAATGTCAAGAAAACTGTAGGCCATTACACCACATTACCAGATGTCAGAGGCATGAAAAATGAGTGAATGGATTTGAAAACGGCTCCAAAATGCCATGTGATTTGACGAGAACACTGACATTTTGCCAAAGTAGAGATGAGTGGCTGACACCGAGACATGCACGGACAGCAGTGTACGCATTAATTCTGGCCTAATGACAATCACCAAATGTCATTAGACTTGTGTGTGTTGTGTAACAGGTGTCTCTTTCCATTCACCACTGTTTGGAGGCTGGAATTGAAATATATTGAGTGGATGAACGTGCGCTGGTAGCCTACTCGTAAAGGAACCCTTTGAAGGGATTGTTTGACAATCAGATGAAAACATCATAACTGGTTGTGTTTATGCCACAATAAAAGGTAATACATGTTAAGTTTAAATGACAAATCTTTACGCCTAGGCCCACAGAGATGCTATTGAATTAATAGGGATTTGATGTGTAATTCTATGATTAGGCCCATATATTTTTATTGGTAAGGAGGTCCTGTACCGGGAAGAAATGAAATCTACTTTCACCCCTGGTATTAAGGTATTGTCACCCATAGGATCCTGACTGCGTTTGTTCTTTGCTTGCAGCGAGTGGGCCACTTTGACCCAGTGACACGCAGCCCTCTGACTCAAGACCAGCTGATCCCTAACCTGGCAATGAAAGAGGTCATCGATGCTTTCATCATGGAGAATGGATGGGTGGAGGACTACTGAACGAGGGAGGGAGGGGGGGAGAGAGAAAGAGAGAGAGAGAGGGGAGGAGGAATCATTCCAAAAGAAGAACCTGACATAAAGATGACAACAAACCAAACAAGTATGATCTGCACTTTAAAGCTGAGACTGAGACTACACCACAGACTGAGACACCTTCACTAGGACTGAGACTACACCACAGACTGATACACCTTCACTAGGACTGAGACTACACCACAGACTGAGACACCTTCACTAGGACTGAGACTACACCACAGACTGATACACCTTCACTAGGACTGAGACCACACCACAGACTGATACACCTTCACTAGGACTGAGACTACACCACAGACTGAGACACCTTCACTAGGACTGAGACTACACCACAGACTGATACACCTTCACTAGGACTGAGACCACACCACAGACTGATACACCTTCACTAGGACTGAGACTACACCACAGACTGAGACACCTTCACTAGGACTGAGACTACACCACAGACTGATACACCTTCACTAGGACTGAGACTACACCACAGACTGATACACCTTCACTAGGACAGACTACACCACAGACTGATACACCTTCACTAGGACTGAGACTACACCACAGACTGAGACACCTTCACTAGGACTGAGACTACACCACAGACTGAGACACCTTCACTAGGACTGAGACTACACCACAGACTGATACACCTTCACTAGGACTGAGACTACACCACAGACTGATACACCTTCACTAGGACTGAGACTACACCACAGACTGATACACCTTCACTAGGACTGAGACTACACCACAGACTGATACACCTTCACTAGGACTGAGACTACACCACAGACTGATACACCTTCACTAGGACTGAGACCACACCACAGACTGATACACCTTCACTAGGACTGAGACTACACCACAGACTGATACACCTTCACTAGGACTGAGACCACACCACAGACTGATACACCTTCACTAGGACTGAGACCACACCACAGACTGATACACCTTCACTAGGACTGAGACTACACCACAGACTGATACACCTTCACTAGGACTGCCATTAAATCTCCTTTTGATCTATACATATATCCATCTCTCTCTCTGTTCCCATCTTTTGTCCCCATTTATTTTATTCTGTCTCTCAGCTGCTGATACTAGTCAGAACAAATTCAGACCCAACAATCAGGACACGCTACCACATTGCACCGAATCAGAGCACATCATACAACAACAGGACCCAATCAGAATCTAGTACCCAACACCTTGGGCCAATCGCCTGTATGTTGCACTCAGAACAACCAATCATATTGCAGACTTCTAACACAGCGACCCAATCACATCCTAGACCTCAAGTCTACAAGTGCAACGAGTGACCAATCAGGGCTAAATGTACTCTACTTGTGGTGATGCTCCACAACTTGTCTTCTATTTTAAATCTCCTTTTCTGTGGGGAAGAGGACTGTCTGAGGCAGCTCGATGAGTAGCCTGTATATGGTCCCAATGTAGTCCTCTTGAGTAGCCTGTAGATGGTCCCAATGTAGTCATCTTGAGTAGCCTGTAGATGGTCCCAATGTAGTCCTCTTGAGTAGCCTGTAGATGGGCCAATTTTAAACCCATCCTGATCTCTTACCACCACTATGCAGCACTTACCTCTATATCTTCTTGGAGGGCTGAACAGACTGTATAAGCATGAGTTGTATAATATAGAAGGAAAGCCTAACCCTCATCTTCTGTGTTTTGCAGAATGTAGGGCACCAATATGTGTAATCAATATCATGGAAGGGTCCGGGAAGAGCATTGGAGGCTTTGAGCAAAGGGTTGTTTTTTGACCAAGGACGTCTCCTCTAATTTTGGCTAGCTGAGTTTCCACCATTTTGTTTACACTCATCTGGCTCATACAGATCTTTGAGCGTAAATTAATGGGGAAGTGTGTAGCAGTAGGGGTCAGGGTCAATTCAAAAAGTAAACCAAATTCCAATTCCAAATGTTCCTTGAAAAGGTTGGTTTAAAATTGTGTCGCAGGTTTGTGTTTTTGAAGACGTGTGTTTAATTGTAATGTGTCTTCTCTGGTTTACATGTCGGTGAATGTTTTCAGGTGGTGTCCTTTCTGTGCCTCAAGTGGAGCTTGAATATGGAAGTCCGTCATCTGATTGGCTTTGAGAAGGGCGGTCTTCTCTTCAGTATAACTTACTGCTTGTGGTCTCTCTTGTTTTAGTGATTCCACACTTAGAGCCTTAGTCCAGTGGCTGCAAAGCATGGTTGGGGTCAATTACATTTTTAAATTCAGGCGATTTTAGAACGCAAATTCATAAATTTAAAATATCCTGATAAAAAATGGGTCCTTTTCAATTTGACCCCTCAACCCTGCTGCAAAAAGATAATCAGTTTCCTCTCCTCATTGCAGAAATCATACATTCCTCTCAGCCATACGAACCTGTTTGACTTACCAACTGAAAATGATTTAATCTGAAATTAACCTGAATATTCCTACCCTCTGCTGGATGTGAGGATGGACAGTTATGTTGTGTTAGTCTGTCATGTGTATCATTATGATGGGTACATGTAGGGGTGTGTTTATGTGGGATAGGGGTGGGGGGCATACTCCTCTCCCCCTAGGCCCCGATTCCTCCTAAGAGGGGGGTGGAAACTTGGGTCCAAAGGGGTACAGTCAAGTTTCTCTGGACCCTCATTGGGACTGTGAATGTTCTTTATTTCACTGTCGTGCTGTTATGTCAAGTGTTCCAATAAAAAAAAAAAAGGCTACAACTTAAGAGACTGCAGTGTTTGCATTGAAAATCAAGATACAAATGGTCATCTTTTATTTTCAAGTACTTTATTATCAAATAAATGTCATATTTGAGCTGCATTTGTCCTAGTTGGCCCGGTACAATGGAACCGATGTAAAAGTCCTGGGGCTGGAAAACCAGTATGTGACTTCCAGGGAATACAGTCAATAAACTACATTCACTCCTCTCCTTTAGGTCAGTAGAAGTTCGAATAGTCTTTGTTTCTTTGTCTCCGAAGAGTGATCTACATAGTAGTTATGACGACAGAGCGGAAATAAGGAAATGCAGTTTTGGGTTGACAGGAGTGTTGTGGTGGGGTGCCATTTCAGCCCAGTTTACATGATACTTTTGAAAGTGCGTCCTTCCTGCTCCCCATCACTAACCACTGTGTGTGCTGTCTGACGGGGGTTGAGAACAGAGCACAAAACACATTTCTGTTGAGCACTGTAACACATGGACTATAAAGTTGTATTGTATTCTATATGACTGGGATGTAGCTCAGTTGGTAGAGCATGGTGTTTGCAACGCCAGTGTTGTGGGTTCGATTCCCACGGGGGGCCAGTATGGAAAATAAAAAAATTATGTATGCACTCACTAACTGTAAGTCGCTCTGGATTAGAGCGTCTGCTAAATGACTAATGTAAATGTAATGACTGGATGTGCAAAACATCTGATTACCTCAGAGGGAAAAAGGAATGATGCATGTTGAAAGTATTCTAACACGGCTTTTGTCCAAGGGCAATGACCCTAATGACCTTCTAGTAGGATCAGGGGTCAGCCCAGGAAGGTGGAGATGAAGACACTGGTGTCCAAATTGAGCGTGGCATGCCACCAGCGGTCAGGGAAATACAGCACCTATCAGCAACAACACAAACACAAAAAGTCAGTGACATCAGAGTGACAAGTTATTAATACTAGTTATTATCCTCTTCCTGCTGTTGCCGTGGTAAGGCAAAAAGACATGAGAAATCTGAACGCAGCCTATCATTCCAATTCAGTGAAAACAATGGCTCAAAAGTCATGTTTACCTCAAACGTAGTGACCCCCATGGTTGTTTTAAATGTGTTAAATTATATTCCATAGTTGAAATTCAAAAAAAGTCTACTATTTCTATATTGTTGAAAATGCCTCAAACGTCATGTTAGTGACCCATGGTTGATAAATGTTTTAAACGTGTTTAAATTCTTCCAGATGATGACTCCTATGATTGTTATCCCCATTCTATGCATTACAAATGATTGTAGCTCATGTTAGTGACCTGTGTTGACGGAGGGAAGGGTGACAGTTAAAGTATTCCGGTGTTCAACCATTCTGTCTATTATGGCTGCGTTGGCACTGCCAGCCCAATTCTGACCTTTTGACCAATTATTGGCAAAAGAGCTGATCTGATTGTCAAAAGACTAATTAGTGGGGGGGGGCAGTTCTGACCTCTCCTGGACGGATGGTGCACTCTATGGGCTTCTCCTCCTCAGGCAGGTAAGGGTATGTGTCTTTGACCCAGGACAGGGTGGTGTAGTTGGGGTGGAAATGGGGCGCCTTCTCTGGGGGGTACAGGAACCAGCGCTGTGGGGGTTGGAGAAGAAAAACGCTATCTCATACTGTTGTGTTTAACAGACATGCATCAATTACAACAAGGTTGTGTAGCGTGTTAAGGCCAACAGCATAAATTACAACAAGGTTGTGTAGCGAGTTAAGGCTAACAGCATCAATTACAACAAGGTTGGGTAGCGTGTTAAGGCCAACAGCATAAATTACAACAAGGTTGGGTAGCGTGTTAAGGCCAACAGCATAAATTACAACAAGGTTGTGTAGCGTGTTAAGGCCAACAGCATCAATTACAACAAGGTTGTGTAGCGTGTTAAGGCCAACAGCATCAATTACAACAAGGTTGTGTAGCGTGTTAAGGCCAACAGCATCAATTACAACAAGGTTGTGTAGCGTGTTAAGGCCAACAGCATCAATTACAACAAGGTTGTGTAGCGTGTTAAGGCCAACAGCATCAATTACAACAAGGTTGTGTAGCGTGTTAAGGCCAACAGCATCAATTACAACAAGGTTGTGTAGCGAGTTAAGGCCAACAGCATCAATTACAACAAGGTTGGGTAGCGTGTTAAGGCCAACAGCATCAATTACAACAAGGTTGGGTAGCGTGTTAAGGTCAACAGCATCAATTACAACAAGGTTGGGTAGCGTGTTAAGGCTAACAGCCAGCCAGGCTGACCCTGGATTCAGGCTTACACCAGCCTACCTACTGGTGCTGGACCCATGTTAACATGAATCAGGTGTCATTAGACACTGGGACAGTTGTATATTAAACGCTTTCATTTTGTTGGTCGTTTCCCCTCTTTTCACCATTATTCCCCCTTCAAGGTTCTATTGTTGTTTTATTGATGTAAAGTGTGTTGTGACCCATGCGAAATTCACTTTAAATACATCTGACTTGACTTGATTGTGAGATATTCTTAGGAGACATGATCAAGCATTAGGGTGGACCATGATTTGATAGGCAGTTGTTCATGTGTTGTTTACCTTCCTGCCATAGATGACCTCAGAGTAGCCAGGTCCATGCCAATGGAAGGGTACACCTGTTCCTGGGCCTGGTTGGGTGGGTGGATAGAAGGTACAGGAGGTAAGCGTCAACAGAGGATGACAGCCTGTTCTTCATCACAGTAACTGGCTGTATGTATCACACACTATTAAAATGTCCTCTTTTCTCTTCACACAGACGCACCAGTGTGCATGGAGGTTTGTTCAGCTCTCCGGCAACCTGATAGCTGCACGTGGCAGTAAATGCATCTGAGTTTAGCCTCTTGCTTCGTACTTTGGGTCCTGTACAAGTCGCCCTGCTACTGATGGTAACGTTATATTTTAATCTACCCTGAACACCACTGCAGCTGTACATCATGATTCTGATATCCAACCCTTGACCCTGGTATAGTGTAATCCAGAATATATTAATAATAATATTATACAGTTTACAAAACATGCAGCTCTTTCCATGACAAACTGATGAAACAGGTGAAAGCTATGATCCCTTATTGATGTCACTTGTTAAATCCACTTCAATCAGTGTAGATGAAGGGGAGGAGATGGGTTAAAGAAGGATTTTTCACCTTGAGACATGGATTGTGTATGTGTGCCATTCAGAGGGTGAATAGGCAAGACAAAATATTTAAGTGCCTTTGAACGGGGTATGGTAGTAGGTGCCAAGTGCACTGGTTTGTGTCAAGAACTGTAACGCTGCTGGGTTTTTCACGCTCAACAGTTTCCGGTGTGTATCAAGAATGGTCCACCACCCAAAGGACATCCAGCCAACTTGACACAACTGTGGGAAGCTCTACTAACTGAGCCATACAGGTCCACTGACCTGCGATACCGAAGCTGTAGGCCCCTGTGGTGTGAGGCAGCATGTAGCGTGGTGCCTTGTAGTTCTCAAACAGAGCGCGCCACTCAGAGAAGTTGTTGTCCCCGAAGAAATACAGAGTGTCTGTCAAAGAGAGACCGGGTGAGATACAGGATGTCTGGCTGTGTGTGTGTGAACTTTGTTTCTGTTAATGCTTTGACTTTTCAGCATGATCACATAGCATGTTGTATTATGTTATAGATCATGGTTTGCCTGTTGAGCTCATGTACTGTACAACGACCATGAGGTGTTCCAGACACCAAACTCACCACTGCCCAGTGTGTCCAAAGACTGAGGCCTCAGCAGCAAGTCCACAAACTCCTCAAACCGGACATCCACTAAATGATAATGAAGAGGTAAAGTAATGTACTACAAAAAGAGAACACTGAATACCTTCTAGAATAACTACAGTTGTGTGTGTACCTTTCCTGTAAGAGTAGGTGTTGGCAGTGCTGAGCCTCACCATCCTCTCTCCATACTCCTGGAGCAGGCTGGACTTGGAGCACAAGAACTGGAATTTCTGAAAATAAAACAATTACGTTCACCAGAGCCCATTGCTATACTGATATTAAGGCCTATGAGACGAGTAAAAAAAATGTAATTGCTTTTTTATTCACACGTACCGTATTGTCCGAGAAACCTTTAAGGATGACCGGTTTGGAGTAGGCATATCTAGGAATAAAATGAGGTGTGTTACACATACTGGTGCAAACAAAGCCTTATAGAAAAGAGGTGTTTCCAATGTATGTGTGCAGAACACACACACACAGTGTAATGATTTACAGAGACTGCAAACACCCAGGCCGAACACATGAAATAGACTAAAGTACGTACTGTTGGATAAACTGCCGATGTGATAACGAAGCTTTGTCCCAGATATCAATGTTGCAAGGACCTTCATCAGTCAAACTGTATTCTGAATTTGACGACCTACATTCGGGAGAAAAAAACGCTTTGTGCTGCTTTTTGGGCTACGAATACTAGTATTATTGAATTAATGTAAGGATTAGATATTGATTAAAAGTTAAAATCAGTGGAAAACATTCAGAATAGAAGTAGTCTTAATTTATAGATGGTCAAAGACGTAGCCTAAAATAAACACTCACCAGCCTCCGTCATTCCCCGACAAGAGTGCATCTAAAGCCGATCTCCAAAACAATAGGAGAAATACTTGTATTCCGAGTTTATATTCCATATGGAAATAGCTTTACAGTGCTTCGCAAATACGCCTCATGTACTTATACATTTCTGGAGTTACGTGTTTCTATTAGAAAGGGTTTAGATTGCTCGTGCCGTTGTTTCAATGCCCATTGGCTATTGACTTCCTTCTTCCTTAGGTGTAGTGTTCATATGGGCCAATCACATTTGACCAACGAGCTGTCTATGGAGGGATCCAGCAGAAGTACAATTTGTATTGTTTTTGGCTAGATGGGATGCAGCTAATGTCAGAAGCGTTAGTTCGTAGCAGGTTAGGAGAATTTACGCAGCAGCAGCAGATTAGGTAATTAACGTACCAGGTTAGGAGAATTAGGTTAAGGTTAGGAAAAGGGATAGGGTTAGCTAAAATGCAAAAATTCTCTCTGAAGGACTGGAACGTGCACATTTTGACGTCACTTCGACATTAGCTGCATCCCTTCTAGCCATTACCTTTTGTATTGCACAAATTGAATTCATTGCATATGGTACATTTAATTTTTATTTTTGTTTAAAATACAACTGATGAAAGTGTACACATTTTCGCCACAACCCTTTCTAATTGTCATTCACAGACTTTGACAATATTTATTTTGGCAGAATTATATACTAAAATAGCCAGGTATAACGTTTGCTTGATATATACTATAGTATATTTCTCTTTTTATACCACAATTCACCTTTTGATGAATACATGTATTTACAGATTATAGAGATATGGATTTAATGCATTGCAATTTACGCATTGTTCCGAAATGATATTTAATAAAAATGTCAGCATTCCATATAACATATTTTAATAAAGTTCAAAATACTGTATCAAGAAACCCATAGAAGAGGCTAGGTGGCTTTTGCTATGGGGCTTGATAGCAGGAAACGTTTGAGGCATGTAATGTAATGTACCAAGGACCAAATCATTACAGAAAAACGTTATTATACAAAGTCACCAAACAATGAAGTGGATCTGAAAACAGGCAGGATGTTTTACTATTAAATACATGTTATTACGCAAGCGAACATTGACAGTCTGGCCTTTTCACAGAAAGACAACTCAGAACATCTCATTGTGGGTCTTCTGGTTGGTCAGTAAAGCAGAGAGTCATGCAGTCTCAGCAGCTCCTTACTGCTGTGTGTGTGTGTGTGTGTGTGTGTGTGTGTGTGTGTGTGTGTGTTAGTAACCAGGCCAGTGCCAATGGTTTTACTGCCATAGTGGCCTAGACCTATCTGCTGCCTTCGACACCATAAACCACAAGATCCTCAGGCTGTGCACACTGCATTGCATCCTACCTGGCAAGTCGCTCCTACCAAGTGATTGTGGAGAAGGTATGTGTCTTCACCACGAGGTCACACTGCTGTTGTCCCCCAGGGCTCTGTACTAGGACCTCTCCTGTTCTCTATGTACACCAAGTCACTTGATTCTGTTACGTATGTGAACCAGACGTCAGTGTGCTGCTAACAAAAAAGCTTCCTTCCCTGTCCCGTACCAGGCTCGAACTAGTGATCCTCTGCTCACAAACACACATGACCGCCCTCCATGACAACGTACCAACCGATTGAGCTATAGAAAAATATCTACAGTGAGGGAAAAAAGTATTTGATCCCCTGCTGATTTTGTACGTTTGCCCACTGACAAAGACATGAGCAGTCTATAATTTTAATGGTAGGTTTATTTGAACAGTGAGAGACAGAATAAAATAAAAAAAATCCAGAAAAACGCATGTAAGAAATGTTATAAATTGATTTGCATTTTAATGAGGGAAATAAGTATTTGACCCCTCTGCAAAACATGACTTAGTACTTGGTGGCAAAACCCTTGTTGTCAATCACAGAGGTCAGACGTTTCTTGTAGTTGGCCACCAGGTTTGCACACAACTCAGGAGGGATTTTGTTCCACTCCTCTTTGCAGATCTTCTCCAAGTCATTAAGGTTTCGAGGCTGACGTTTGGCAACTCGAACCTTCAGCTCCCTCCACAGATTTTCTATGGGATTAAGATCTGGAGTTTGACTAGGCCACTCCAGGACCTTAATGTGCTTCTTCTTGAGCCACTCCTTTGTTGCCTTGGCCGTGTGTTTTGGGTCATTATCATGCTGGAATACCCATCCACGACCCATTTTCAATGCCCTTGTTGAGGGAAGGAGATTCTCACCCAAGATTTGACGGTACATGGCCCCGTCCATCGTTCCTTTGATGTGGTGAAGTTGTCCTGTCCCCTTAGCAGAAAAACACCCCCAAAGCATAATGTTTCCACCTCCATGTTTGACGGTGGGGATGGTGTTCTTGGGGTCATAGGCAGCATTCCTCCTCCTCCAAACACGGTGAGTTGAGTTGATGCCAAAGAGCTCGATTTTGATTCCTCACCGTTCTCATGATCATTGCAACTCCACGAGGTGAGATCTTGCATGGAGCCCCAGGCCGAGGGAGATTGACAGTTATTTTGTGTTTCTTCCATTTGCGAATAATCGCACCAACTGTTGTCACCTTCTCACCAAGCTGCTTGGCGATGGTATTGTAGCCCATTCCAGCCTTGTGTAGGTCTACAATCTTTGCCCTGACATCCTTGGAGAGCTCTTTGGTCTTGGCCATGGTGGAGAGTTTGGAATCTGATTGATTGATTGCTTCTGTGGACAGGTGTCTTTTATACAGGTAACAAGCTGACATTAGGAGCACTCCCTTTAAGAGTGTGCTCCTAATCTCAGCTCGTTATCTGTATAAAAGACACCTGGGAGCCAGAAATCTTTCTGATTGAGAGGGGGTCAAATACTTATTTCCCTCTTTTAAAATGTAAATCAATTTATAACATTTTTGACATGCGTTTTTCTGGATGTTTTTGTTGTTATTCTGTCTCTCACTGTTCAAATAAACCTACCATTAAAATTATAGACTGATAATTTCTTTGTCAGTGGGCAAACGAACAAAATCAGCAGGGGATCAAATACTTTTTTCCCTCACTGTAATTCGATAGGTCCATTGGCGACATTTCAAGCTAGCTGTGGAGTTAGCTTACGGCACGTTCTTAACTCTGTTGCATATGCTCACATGGTGTCTTATCATTGCTATGCGGACGACACTCAACTGTTGTTCCCCTTCCTCCCCTCTGACACCCATGTGGTGACACGTATCTCAGCTGGGTTTCTGGCCTACCTACCACCTCAAGCTCCATCTTGACAAGACGAGGAGAGAGCTGCTCTTCCTCCCGGGGGAAGGACTGCCCACTCCAAGAACTCTCAATCACAGTTGACAACTCAGATTCTATGTACAGTATACTGTATATACCAGTGGAGGCTACTGAGGGGAGGACGGCTCATAATAATGGCTGAAATGGAGTAAATGGAATGGAATCAAATACATTCACTCCATTCCAGCCATTACACACCATTCCAGCCATTATAATCCATTCCAGCTATTACACTCAATTCCAGCCATTAAACTCCATTCCAGCCAATATACTCCATTCCAGCCAATATACTCCATTCCAGCCAATATACTCCATTCCAGCCATTATACTCCATTCCAGCCATTAAACTCCATTCCAGCCATTATACACCATTCCAGCCATTATACTCCATTCCAGCCATTATACTCCATTCCAGCCATTATACTCCATTCCAGCCATTATACTCCATTCCAGCCATTATACTCCATTCCAGCCAATATACTCCATTCCAGCCATTATACTCCATTCCAGCCATTTTACTCCATTCCAGTCATTATACACCATTCCAGCCATTATACTCCATTCCAGCCATTATACTCCATTCCAGCCATTATACTCCATTCCAGCCATTATACTTCATATTTTGTAATGTGAAATAGGGAAGTCGATATGCCTTAAGTAGATGTTCATTTTCCGTTGCAAAAGGTTTTGCTTTAGTGTGCCTATACTGAACACATCCCAGCCAGGAACTGATCTTTATGCCGGAACATAAACAAAGAAAGACAAATATTCGTACCTATCATTTTGAAAGAAAATGTTGTAATGCAGTTATGCCCTCTTAAACCAGTATGATGATACTGGTTCTTTGTTGACACTGATTATTTGAATTGCGACTCGCTCGGAGAAAGAACAACAAAAGCACTGTCATTAGAAAACGGGAAGCGGGAATATTCTTCTTCTTTGATGAGGTTTAATGGCGGTTAACATCCAATATACTGTGTGATGCATTACCGACACCAAATTGACTGGATTATAAATCCATTATACTTTAACTCTACACTTATTAAAAACCCACCACCTTATTCCACTATTTAGATCTATCTGGTCCTACACCAGGCCAACGGCCTGGGAGGACGGGACACCACCACTCAACACACCCTGTAACTCTTCTGAAGTCAAATCTCGTACACCTAAGTAGTTCTCTGCAGCTGCCACCTCAACATCTATTTTCTGTGACTTACAGTACCAGTCAAAAGTTTGGACACACCTACTCATTCAAGGATTTCATTATTTTTTACTATTTTCTACATTGTAAAAAAAAATTTGAGAAGACATCAAAACTATGAAATAACACATATGGAATCCTGTAGTAACCAAAAAAGTGTTAAACAAATCAAAATATATTTTACATGTTAGATTCTTCAAAGTAGCCACCCTTTGCCTTGATGACAGCTTTGCACACTCTTGGCATTCTCTCAACCAGCTTCATGAGGAATGCTTTTCCAATAGTCTTGAAGGAGTTCCCACATATGCTGAGCACTTGTTGGCTTCTTTTCCTTCCCTCTGCTGTCCACCTCATCCCAAACAATCTCAATTGGGTTAAGGTCGAGTGATTGTGGAGGCCAGGTCATCTGATGCAGAACACCATCACTCTCCTTCTTGGTCAAATAGCCCTTACACAGCCTGGAGGTGTGTTTTGGGTCATTGTCCTGTTGAAAAACAAATTATAGTCCCACTAAGCGCAAACCAGATTGGATGGTGTATTGCTGCAGAATGCTGTGGTAGCCATGCTGGTTAAGTGTGCCTTGAATTCTAAATAAATCACAGATAGTGTCACCAGCAAAGCACTCCCACACCATCACACCTCCTCCTCCATGCTTCATGGTGGGAACCAAACATGCGGAGACATCTGTTCACCTACTCTGCGTTTCACAAAGACATGCCGGTTGGAACCGATCATCTCAAATTTGGACTCATCAAATCA